CTGACAAAAATCCCGCAGTCCGGCTTAGAGGCGAGACATCACCGGCCAAGCCCAAAAACAGGACTGCCTCACACTCAAAATTGTTATGCAGGCCACCAGAGCGGGAATTAGGGCTGCTCGTAAGAGCAGACACCACTAGCACCGCCGGGAAGGCTCCATCTATTGGTGGGGAGCGGCACCTGCAGGAATTGGGTCCAGCGTGCCGGAACATTGTAGTTGTTTTTGTTCACCCCTCCTACCAGGAGGACTCGCTTTTTCAACAAAAAAAGAAAAAAGCCGGAAGTACTGGAAGAGAAGAGGAACTGTCGGCAAACAGTCTGTCGCATGTGCCGGAATAGAGAAATACACTGATATCACATAATTCTGGACGCCCCCTGGTTTTTTGCGGGCGTCCAGAATTATGTGATATCAGTGTATTTCTCTATTCCGGCACATGCGAGAGACTGTTTGCCGACAGTTCCTCTTCTCTTCCAGTACTTCCGGCTTTTTTCTTTTTTTGTTGAAAAAGCGAGTCCTCCCGGTAGGAGGGGTGAACAAAAACAACTACAATGTTCCGGCACGCTGGACCCAATTCCTGCAGGTGCCGCTCCCCACCAATAGATGGAGCCTTCCCGGCGGTGCTAGTGGTGTCTGGCACTGTCTGCTCTTACAAGCAGCCCTAATTTCCGCTCTGGTGTTCTTGCACAAAAAAAAAAAGGAAAAAAAAAAGGAGGGGTGATAACAGCATATACCCCCTACTGGGCTTTCTGGTTACTCCTATCTATCGCTGTGGAGCTACACCTGCTGGAAAGCGGATCCAGTGTCCCATTATACATTGACAGTCTGAATGTGCTTTCCACCTGCCAGCATTGATTGCCCTGGACACCAGGGGATTAACTGGGCTCATGGGATGGTAAGGATAATAGATTTTGGGTGGCGGGAGGTCTCTTCAGCCCTGTTGGTGGGCGCCCGACAAAACCTTAGCAGCTAACCCCCCTTCACCCTCTGGAAAGAGCAAAGTGAATCCCCCCTTGAATTTGGCCGGTGATGCCTGCTCATTGGGGAACCCGCTGACAGTCATTTTATAAGGGACGCCGGGCCCCATTCCTGGCTTGTAAAGAAAAGAAAAAAAGTGGACCTGGGACTGAAAGGTGAGAGAGAATAATGAGTGGATCCCCAATCATTGATTCGCACACCTCTGTCGAGAATTTTCACAGTACTGGGACGCTGGACCCGGTTTCCAGCAGGTGCAGCTCCCCACCAATAGATGGAGTGACATGCGTAAGGTATACTAGTTGGGGAGATCTGTATCACCTCAACTAGTACTACCTGCACAGTCTTGTTTGAAAAAAAAAAAAAAAAAAAAAAAAAAGTTCTGCCACAGAGAGACAAGTGACAAATTTGTTCTTGTTAGCAGGGGCCAACAGGCTTTGGACCCTAACCCTTAGGCTGAGCCTCCCCCCTGTACTTTTTTTTTTTTTTTTTTTTTTTTTTTTTCCACCCCTGTATTAATATGCAACGGGAACGCCAGGAAGAAAACGAATTCCCTAGAGAAAATGTTGCCCCTTTTCTCACAGGCAGACGGAGACGGCGGGGGAGCGATGTCTGGGCAACGGGGGATCGCGTTGGTGTCGCCGCAACGAAGGCGGCGCTGTGCCAGAACTTGTTGGTGGGGTGGCGGCGCGTGGAGGAAGGCACGAGGGCGCTATGGGGGACACGTGCAGAGGGGCACTGCCATGCTCCTGCCATGGGCCAGTCCCGGCTGACAGGGGTAAGTAATCCTGGTTGACTGTGGAGGGATAGGAGAGTGATCTGGGGACAGTCAGCGGGCGGGATCTGGACGTCGCTGTTATACCAGAATTATCAACCAATCAGGGGTGCAGTCCCCTGGTTTCAGATACGGAACCCAAGAGTTGGGAGATGATTTCGACTGAGCTTGGTGATGCTGATGAAGTGCTTGGTGTATGCCTGATCGACGGTGGAATGGAAGGTTGGGGTGGAATGGAAGGTTGGGTTGTTTGGCATCGACATTTGGGGTGCTGTGCCTGTGTTGGGGACGGCGGATCGACTGATTACGCTCCTCCCTAGCTATTGGCACGTTGGTGCTGCTGGATGAGATGTTTTGGCCCACTTTTTGGAGTTGAGTAGAATTGCACGTGAGCCCACAGGTTGGTGACCCTGTTTTAATTATGTCGCCGGTGATCTGTTCATCGGTGGAAGGATTTGGATTGCAACAGTTGGCTTCACACGGTTTTGTCGTTGTTTGTGTTTCTACCTAATTAGGTGTATAGCCTCTACTTCTGGGCTTAGCTAGAGGTATTGTAATTTGGGTTGCTTTTTTGCCGCCCGTTGAATTGTAGATACATAATTATGGAGCTGGTGGCGGTCATGGAAATTTAGGCGATACTAATCAGAACATTGGGGAATGGTAATCTGAAAGGGGGAAGGAAAGTTAGTTTGGTTTTAATTGGTTTTATATGCTGGGTTAGTTTAGTTTAGACACACCTTGATTGTGGAGTAATTAGGGGATATTAATTAGAACACAGGGGAATAGTAAATAGATAGGGAGGAAAAATGAAAATAGAGAGAGTATTTCTGTAGGGGAATCGTAATTACATTAGTCTAATTAGCGTACTAGGGTTGGTAATTAATTAGGTAATTGTAATTATTACCGTATTAGGATTAATGAGTAATTAGGAGATACTAAGTTTGGTAGTGCTAGATTCGATTTTTTCTGAACTGCATCAGCTTTCAAATGACTAGTTAGTGGCAGCTAGGGGTTTGAGCAACATTGCCTAATTTTTGGCTGCAGTCGGGGATGGGATTGGTCGGGAGTGCTTTTCCCAGCCCTGTATGGCTGCGGTTTATATGTAAGGGACGGCAGCCCCGTTTTCTGGCATATAATGGAATGATGTCTTTCTTCTGGTAAGAAAAAAAAAAAAAAAAGAAACTGCACAGAAACAAATTAAATCAAATCCCGGTTCTCCACTGCCTGAGATGATAGGAGCATCCCCATGCAGTGAGTTCCTGCTGTGATGGCTCCTTTCCATCGGTGGGGACCACCACCTGCAGGAAACTGGAAGAAAAAAACAATGCTGTAGAACAAAAACTCCACAGAAACAAATCATATCACCTCCAAAAAAAAAATAAAAAAAATTCACCTCGAAACACCACAACCCGGTCTCCACTGCCTGAGGTGATAGGAGGATCCCTGTCCAGTGAGCTCCTGTTGTGATGGCTCCTTTCCATGGGTGGGGACCACCACCTGCTGGAAACTGCGTCCAGCGCCCTCACAAGAGTTGCTTATAATTGGTCTCCAGCAGATGTTTTCTGGAAAAAAAAAAAGTTTCTTGTTATTATTATTTTTTAATTTATCTTTTGTTGATGCACTCTTGTCCTTCATCTCCAGCTCTTCGCACAGGTAAAAGTTCCGTAAAACTGCAACCGCCATTGCAACACGATCATGTTCCGTGTCTGTAATCAGAGGGCAACGCCTCTGATCAGGTGATCGGGTGATAATACTGATATGTACGATGCACAGATCTTGCCCGTTGACTGACCCCACATCTCTCCCCTTCCTTCTGCGGCCAATCTAGGATTACCAACTCTCGCTGGCCAAGATCGGGCTATGGCAGGTGCATGGCTGTGCCCCCTCGAAGTGACCTCCACCTCAGCAGCCACAGGCTCTATGGCAGGTGCATGGATGTGCCCCCTTGAAGCGGCCTCCACCTCAGCAATGTCTGGCTAAGCAAGGCTTATCCGCAGCTGCCCCCGTGCGAACCCCCGCCGCCTGCTAATAACAACGCACTAGCGCTGCGCTAGCCCGTTGCATTTTTCCCCTATTGCTTATACATCTGAACAAAACTCAGAATAACTGAGAATACAGTTATTCCTGAGGTGCATCCTTTTACTCATCAGAAGAAAGGAGCTGAGGGACAGAGAGGAGGCCATACATCCGTCTTCCTTGATGCAATCATGAACCAAAAGAAAAGGGAAGTAAAAGCCAGAAGTTTTGGACAAAAAAAATAAAAATAAAAAATAAAAGCTAAAAATACAGTTATTCCTGAGGCAGTAGTGGTTACCCTTTTGAAGAAAAGGGGATTCCTGCGTCACCTGATAAACGACTAACTTTGACCTTTTTTTTTTTTTTTTTTTTTTTTTTGACAAAATGCTCCAATCTATTTGTGACATGCCATTCCAACTAGGGCCTCGTTCTACACCACTCGAAACTCAAGTATTTTTGGTCAAGCATCGTTCCACAACACCCTAATGACGACGATTTTGGAGATGGAAATGTTTTCACATTCGCCATCTCAAGGGTCCGCCCTTGAAACTCAAGTGCACCCCAGCCAAAATGAAAAAAACTCAAGGGCACCTCGGGAGGTCACTTGAAACTCAAGGGTTCCGTCCTTCCCCGATGCGCAATAGACGGAATTTTTTTGTTTTTTTGTGTAATTTTCCCCAAAAATGGACTGCACCTGGTTCAATGGAGGTTGTCCGTCCTGCATGTTGGGACAGTGGCACCGGGGACACTACGAACGGGCACCCGGTAACGCATTTGCATACCGTTGGGCCAGTCTCGGGTACCGTTGGTTGGCGCGGCCGTGGTGGGGGAGGGGGGGTGGGTGCTGCTGTTGAAGGCGGCGATTGTGGCCGTTAGGCGGATTTCGATTCGAAACCTCCGAGCGACCCAATGTGTGGCCGGACAGCGGTCCATTCGTCGTGAGAGTGTGGGGTCGACCGTGCAACGGTCACCTGGCTGCTGAGTGCCCTGCTGTTGCGGGTTATGATAGGTGGGGCAACACCTGTGACGGGAGCAAATGTCCATTGCGGCCGAAGCAGCATGTGGCTTGTGAAGTACGGCACAGCCGCCCTGTTGTTTTTGTGCCGTTTTCATACCGGACAAAAGCGCATGGCTGATCTGGGGAGGAAGACATGTCTGCTGGCGTTCATTCTTGTGGCGTTGCTGCTGGTCGTTCGCTTTCATCTGTAGCAGTTGGCGAGGCAGAGCATCACAGTGTTCGGGCCAAAAAAGGGCACGAAAAACCTTCGGATGAGTCGTCCTTTGAGGAAGGCGATGGGCGATCATCTGTCGGGGGTGGGGTATCAATGCAGCATGGGCAGGGGGGGTTACGGCAAGGCGTCGAGAACGGATGGACATCAGCCGGGGGTGGGGTTTGAGTACGGAATGGACAGGGGGGGGTATGGCGAGTCGCCCAGATCGGATGGATACCCCATCGATCCGGCGGCGTACGCCCATCTCCCTTCGTATATGCAGCCATTGCCGGGCGACACGAATTGGGAGCCGCCTCCATCCACCCTCCCTCTTGCGTGGGGGTCGACGCAGACATCATACGACAGTGGAGACAGGGTGGGTGAGCGAAGCGGCTCCCGTGGCCCCATGTCCGCTCTCCTGGCTGGGGAGGGCGACGAAACGGCCCCCCCGCTGGGGCTTCGTCTGTCGAAAAGCTGCGGAATGGAGGGTTCCAGAACCGTTCTCGTCGACCACGGGACGCATAGCCATGGTCAAATTTCCGTGACGATGAGGGACGCTGGTGAAGACAGCGCGTGCAGGTCAGTGCAAGGACGGCGGTACAGTACTGCAACGAGTGTCTGTGCACCGCCGACGGCTTCTGCAGGTGGGCGGGGAGGGGGGTCGTCGCCAGCACCTCCATCCCCCCCAGTTGTGGAGAGGATAGTGGCAACGTTCAAGAGACTGCCAACCGGCACCGGCCGCGAAGGTGGCGGGCATGGCGGTGATTGCATCGGAGACAACGAAGGGGGTAGCGACGAGGACGAGAAGACAGATGTAAGAGAGGTTACTCCACGTCCAAGCAAGAAGAAGCCATCGAAAAGCCGCGCGTCGAAAGGCAAAGAAAAGGCCGTCGGTGGTAACAGGACCTGTGCGAATTGGGATTTGAACGACTCTCTCCTTCTCGTGCGCTGCAAACGGGATCAGGAGGACTATCTCGCAAATGTCGGCCACAACTTCGCACGGATGAAGACGAAGGAATGGAAATGGATGGACATTGCGAAGAGGATGACGCAGCAAGGGGTTCGGAACAGGGATTGGGATTCGTGCATGAAGAAATGAGAGAACTTGATGGGCTATTACAAGAAGGTGCAGGAGAGAGAGAAGGAGTCCGGTGCGCAATCGTTTTTCAGTCTTGCGGCGAAACAGCGGCGGGACCAGGGGTTCAAGTTCAACCTCGACAGAAGTCTGTACGACGCCATGGACGGGATGCAGTAGGGCAACCAAGCTATACACCCACCAGATCTGGTGGACACCGGGAATCCGCAACCACAACAAACGCATGAAGGGGAGGCCAGCCAAGTCCGGGGTGCAACAGCAGTGGGTGAGACGTCAGCCAGCGAGAACGCGGAAGGGGATGGGGGCGATGGCGCCCGGAGCAGATCTTCAGGCAGCTTGCCTACAGGGAAGCAGAAGAACGCCCGTCAACTTGCGTTCGACGCCGTGACGGATGGGATGAAAACGCCTTCGACCGTGGTCGCGGAATCTGTTGACCGCGCAAGCAAGCGGCAGTGCGAAGTCCTTCAAAGGCAATGCGACATCATGGACCGGGAGGCTTCGACGCAGGAGAGGCAGTGCGCAGTGCTGGATCCCGGGCAGCGAATGTTGTGCGATGCTTTGCTAAAGATCGCATCCGCTCTGTCCCGCACTTGATCTCTACCAGCCATCCGGGATTGCGGGCATGGTTCATCGAATGGCCGGCCTTTCGGGGATAATGTGCCCCATTGCGTCCACCACATTTAAGTGGTCGTCTTCTCTTTGTATTTTTAGCAAGCGTTTTTTTTTTTGTTTTTTTTTTTTCGCCACCCCTGACGACAATCGTGCCTTCATACGTCGACGATGCACGAGGTGTTTTGAAGGGTGTCCGTCACGAGGGTGAGTCCCCCTTGGGAAAAGGGCGTCGAAGTGCGCAAGTTAGGGGGGGGG